ATGAATGATGCAGCTTTTATCATTTCATAACCTCTACCTTTTTGTCTGTTTAGGAGGAGCCTGTGCCATTCCTGTTCTTTGTTAAGGATGCAGAGGTGGTGTCGTCCCTGGGCACTTGTGTGCAGACGATGGGCCTGGAGACTGAGCAGGTGCTGCCAGTTGTGTACCAGCCGCAGGCCGTATTCCGTGTACGGGCCGTGGCTCGATGCACCAGCTCTTTGGAGGGCCACACAGAGGCCGTCATCTCTGTGGCATTTAGCCCCACGGGAAAGTAAGTAGATTAAACAGTAATATTAAACGCCAATTTATATAAAGATAGATAAATATATAACACATCAGACTGTATGTATCCAGATAAAGCTTTTTTTTTAATTTTGTGGTTATTCAGATATCTGGCCAGTGGATCCGGAGACACGACAGTGAGGTTCTGGGATCTGAGTACAGAAACACCACACCACACTGCTAGGGGTCAGTTCATCATGTAACCTTTAGCTGTTACTAAATACTGTCCTCCTGGAAGTTAAACCAATCATCTGACATTCTGTCTATCATGTTTTATAAGGCCACACACACTGGGTTTTATCCATTGCCTGGTCTCCAGATGGCAAGAAATTAGCATCAGGGTGCAAAAACAGTCAGGTGAGCATGTCGTGTTCATTTTAAAGGGGCACTTGGCAACTATCCACACAGGGAGCGCGATGAGAAAACATGCGATAACAGAAGTGAAAATCAGCGAAGAAATTACTAGAGTTGCCAAATGCCCCTTTAAGTCACTGAAATTCAAAGGAAGTTATTTAGGTTTAAGATATTGTTTTGTATCTGATGTGTTTTTTGCAGATCATCTTGTGGGATCCGATCACAGGAAGTCAGATTGGAAAGACCTTAACGGGACATACAAAGTGGATCACCTGGCTATCCTGGGAACCTCTCCACCTGTGAGTTTTGAAAAATCGTTTAGGACTTGTAATTAGCGGCCGGACGATATTTGGCATTTTTTTTAATATCTGCATCAGCCGATAAGATCAGGATGTGAAGAGAGTTTCAGCCACAATAACAAAAAGTGTTTTTGAAAAAAGCCTACCCTACCTTTAATTAAACATCTCTGTTTAACAGTTCTGTCTAATAAATTATTATAAGAAATTTAACTGTATGCATAATCGAAAGGAAAACATTAATACACTATCATCTACCTTCAACATTGGGCAAATGGCAAATATGCATTTATATCATTTAAAAGGCCTTTGAATATTTTGGCAAATCCAGCTTTGAGATTTTGTGAGGTGTGCTTTTGTATTTCATATTAATTTTCAAATAATTCATGCTAATTTCAGATATTGTTATGCATGTTTTTTTTTTATATATCTTTTAAATGAAATAGAATGATATCGGCCACTACTTGTAATCAAAGTATTAATACATGTGTATGTTTACCTTATTTTAGCTCTACAGTTAATTAATTCAAATTTATTATAAATGATAATAATGTATTTTTATCATTTGATTATGTTTTAAAATGATTCAGTTATTGCTTATTATTTAAGAGTTGTTTAATTCACTTATTATTCAGAAAATGTCATAACAAATTTGATCAAATTTCACTCCATCACAGAAACCCAGAGTGTCGGTATTTGGCTAGCTCCAGTAAAGACTGTACGATTCGGATATGGGATACGGTTTTGGGCCGTTGTGATAAGATCCTGACCAGCCACACGCAGTCTGTGACGTGTGTAAAATGGGGAGGTGATGGTCTCCTGTACTCCTCATCTCAGGACAGAACCATTAAAGTCTGGAGAGCCAAAGATGTAAAATGTTTCCACTCATAATGGATCAAATATAACTTAAAGCCATGTTTACTAGGGATTTTGTCTGAATTATGGTGTGAATATCCGCTCTCACCTTTGCCGCAGGGAGTTCAGTGTCGTACATTGCAAGGTCACGCTCACTGGGTCAACACGTTGGCCCTCAGCACCGACTATGTTCTGCGCACAGGAGCGTTCGAGCCAGCTACCGCAACCATAAACCCTCAAGATCTCACTGGATCATGTAGGTTTCAGCATACCAATGGATTTATTATTGTACTCTGCTGTGCAAAAGTTTGGGGTTGGTATGATTTTTTAGAACGTTTCTGAATGATGTACACCAAGGCTGCATTTATGTTGTGAAATATTATTATTTAAAATTACCGTTTTCTATTTTAATGTATTTTAAAATGTGATTTATTCAGTGTCACATGATCCTTCAGAAATCATAATGTGCTGATTTAGTGTTCAAGAAACATTTCTTGTTAACATTGTAAATGCATTTACTGTCACTTTAGATCAATTTAATGCGTCCTTACTGATTAAAGTTTTTATATTATTATTTTATTTTATTTTTTTTATCGTACTAAGCCCAAACTTTTGACTGGTAGTGAATGTAGTATAAATAATTTTGTAAATATAAACCAATGTTCCGCAGTGGACGAAATCAAGGAAAAGGCTCTGAAGCGCTACAATAACGTCAGAGTGAGTGAGACCAGTCTATATACAGTATTGAATTGTGAGAGATGGGATCTCTATTTATAGAAAAAAACTAACCATTCGGTCTTCTAAAGGGTGAAGGTCATGAGAGGTTGGTGTCAGGATCAGACGACTTCACAATGTTCTTATGGAACCCAGCAGAGGAGAAGAAGCCAGTGGCCCGTTTAACGGGTCACCAAGCGCTGGTCAATGAGGTGCTATTCTCCCCGAACACACGATTGATCGCCAGCGCCTCCTTTGATAAGTCTATAAAAATCTGGGATGGAAAGACAGGAAAGTAAGTAGGGTGGTCAAAGATCCCTGATTGATTTGAGACTTTGGCATACTGCTATATTTATATTAGAACTGCAGTATTTTTTTATTAATACTAATATAATTATATACAGTTGTATTTAAAGTTTGTGCATAGACTAGTATTCGAATATTATATATGCCCTGAATGACTTAGAAGTGTGTGATTTCGGATGCAGCCTTTGTAAATGGATTCATGGTGGCACAGAACCATCGTGTACTTCCAGTCGTGTACACTAGGAGGCACTCAGATCACGTCAGCAAATTACAGCATATTTTGCTTGTTTGCACATAGCAACAGCACAGCCAGTATATACAGTGCACAGACAAATCGTTTTGTTTTATCTGACCCTGTGATAGTCTGTTAACTTTAAGATCTTTTTTTTTATGTTTTCCAGGTACCTGACCTCCCTTCGCGGTCATGTCGGGCCAGTGTACCAGGTGGCGTGGTCTGCAGACAGCCGTCTGTTGGTCAGCGGCAGCAGCGACAGCACTCTGAAGGTGTGGGACATCAAGACGGGCAAACTGAACGCTGATCTGCCTGGCCACGCTGATGAGGTAAAACAGTGAATGGATTTTGTTCAGAGGGTAGAGTACACAAGGACCACGGATTTAGAACTACTTTAATTCAGGACACCCACATCAGTGTTATTTTAGTATTATTTAATATACTATTATAGGATTTTAAAGAGTATTTTTAATTTAGCTTTTATTTTTATATTTTCAGTTTTCATTTTAATTTCAGTTTTAGTAAGTTTGTTATACTTTTGTCATTTTAATTCATTTTATTTATTTTTGTATAGCTCTATTTTTTTTTAAATTTCAGTTTTGAATTCTTCAACTTAATTATTTAAGTTATTCACAAGGCAAAATTTCTCATTTTCATTTAGGTTTTTCTTTATTTAAATTATTTTGAATCCTTTTAGTTAACCTAACAAAACCGGTTTTTTTTTGTTTGTTTGTTTGTTTGTTTTCCCTAAAACTAGTTTATAATTAATATAAAATATTAGGATTCTCACAGTAGTTTACAACTTGAAAACACTAGGGACATTTGAATGAAATGTAAAAGTAGAGTAAGATAAAAAAAAACATTTTTTCTTTGTGTATAGGCCTACATTTTTGTTATCTAGTGTATGAATTGTTTTTTTTTTAGCTATATCTTAATAAACAGTTTACAGTAATTTCCCACATCTAGAAATTATTTTATTTTGGGTCTCTTAGCAGTCACCTAGCAACTACCCAGAACACCCTAGCGACCGCATAACGTGCCAAAAACTCTGAATACCTTAACAGCCTAGCAATGCCTTGGCAACAACCACGCTTGTGTTAGAGCTCCATGTTATGCATGGACAAACACCACTCATCTATTTTCTTTTATTGCCCAGGTTTTTGCGGTTGACTGGAGTCCCGATGGACAGAGAGTGGCCAGCGGTGGGAAAGACAAGTGTTTAAGAATGTAAGTGACTCCTATATCGTGCACAGATTATTTATTTCCATGCCCGCACAATACTGTACGTGACACTACCTGGAAGGAACACTTGGCATGTCTTATCTTCTTTTCTCCATTAGATGGAGGAAGTAACCCGGAGGAACCAGCAGCCCAAGGCTCTGCACGCAACAGCCAATCAGGCGTCTCGAAGCATCACCCCCACAGGACAGTGAACAGCAAGTGTTGGAGCACTAAGCCTTAGCCTATTTGTCCAACGAAACCACTTCGACAGCATCACAATAGCAGACTTGTAATGCTCTCTGATGTTGTCGGGCCAGATATCTGGAAGATACGCCCGATACACCACTCAAATGAGCAACTGCCCTGTGGAAGTGCAGACGATCTGACCCAGCCTAATCTGTGTAATCTTTCTCACACACATTCTTTGTAATTAACTTAATCCCTAATGCTGTGATACAGGCGGCATTAACCTGGTCTGTTCCAGTGCCGAGAGATAACCAGCATCGTCACAGTGGACCGCACTACGTCAGCAGAGACGTTTTCTCATTAAACAAGCAGTAAAAGGAAATTTATGGGGTCTGTGTTTTGTGTGCGAGACTTTCTTATCTTGAATTAACGACTGTAGCATCAAAAGCAGTTTGTTGTTATCGCACAACAGGTATATGACGTTAAGAGCCGTAAGATAGAATTCAAAGAGTTTAGATCAATATTGACTACTAAAGGTCACAAGGACAGGAAACTGAACCTATTTGGTTTATTGAATCTGTGTGACGTATTCTGTTTTGAAGCACTGCTTATATATGGGACACAAACACAAAAGTAGCATAACTAGTACAGAACAGGCAACCTTTATGAGGAAATGATTGTTAATGAAAAAGCTTGTACATAAATAAAAAAAAAAGCTGCCATTTACATTTTATAAAAAACGCAAACGAAACATGAGTTCTTCTGACTCAGTACTCGAGCTTGAACATCCTGGTGTTGATGCGATTTATGCATGCAAATTTAATATCAACAGGAATGTCTTGGCCTCTACCGGTTTTGAGATGTATGACGACATCAAGATATAAGTTCTTACAAAAGCACATTTAAACCATTTTCAGTGTAACTGTGCACGTAAACTAGGGCAAAAGAACATGTGCATTACATTGCGATTTCTGTGTGCTTGGTAGTGCTTTTTTGTTTTCATGCCACATGAGTGGATTGTCTCATGACAATCTCTTTAAAAGCATGGTGGTGGTGAGAAGACACTTGCATGATTTTACCGAAGAGTGCAAACTGATATGCTTTTCATCCATCAATATGTTTGCGCATCAATAAATATACTGTAAGCTACAGGTTACTTCTCATTGCTTAAGGCCCTGGTTTTAACTATACAGACACAGATAGATGGTTTAAATCCTCTGGGCCAGAGTTCACGGTTCATGTCTTGATCTTAAAACTTGACTGACGTGGCCAACTGTGTTCGGATAGTTCAGTCTATCTTGATCAGTTCTGCACCCTGGTCTATCTTCAGTCGGTTCTCCAGACGTTGTTCAGTAGCTTCACGACTTCCTCGTAGAGAACAAAGACAATGGCAACGTCCAGACACACTCGGCCCAATCGGGGGACTGTGCCTTTGTAGAAACTTGAATTCAAAGCAAGAAAAGTGTAAGGAAGAAGAAAAGGAAGTTAAAAGGATACAATATTTATGAGAAAACATACGCTTGAGGGCCTTCGTTCTTCAAAATCTGGAATGCGCAATCCATGGTGCTCTTGTAGCGATGAGCCTCCAAACCCTAAGACAAATGGATCACAAAATATCAACAAATGGTATTTAAAGGGACACCACTCAGCAATCCCGTTTTTGTCAAACAGCGACCTCTAGAGTCGCTGTGGAGTACTTCTATTTAACGTTGCTGTCGTAAATACCACTCGCGCATGTTTAATGAGATCTAATATATGTTGTTAGTGGTGAGAATTTTCACGTGATTATTATCCTCATAACCATTTCAATAACTCTGAAGCTGTTCAATTAAGCTAAAAAAAACTGCATAGAATCCCTTTAAAAGTAGTTTTAATTAATTATTTTAAAAGATTCTGCTAACCTGCATTCGAGTCTTCACCACATCAAGGGGTGTGTTCCCAAAAACACTAGCTGCCCCAGCTGTCGCTCCGAACATCGCTGTAACCAGCGGGTGCATGTCACGACTGGGGTCATCACCTGAAGATAAAGCCAAGATGATCAGTTTTCTTAAACACCCATATACTTTAGAGTATTATTGTTGGATCCCATCCTCACCTTTGTACCAGTTGCGCAACAAGTTCATAACATAAAAGCGTATCGCCTGGTTGCTACCCTGCTTCAGAAGTGTAGCAGTCAGTCCTTGATATGTCCCTCGAACACCTACAAGCACGGAATAAAATGTACGAGTTCACACTTCCATTTAATTAGAGTGGATAAGATTTAATGTGTATTTGGCATGCTGTCCAGGGGAAGGGCTCCGAGCTCGGAGTTTGGCCCGAACACAGAGTACTCCCTCTATGTAAGCGTTTAGGACTGGGAGTGTGGAGAAGGGGTGGTGGAGGGGTGCTGCTAAACTATCAATGGAGTGAGGTGAGATTGCTGAATCTATATATACACCTCTTATCATTGATTGTTGAGTGCACTCAACTTGTGTTAATTAACTGAACATGCTCCTCCCGAACTTTGTTAATAAAACATCATGTATTATTAGACACTTTTGATTAACAAGAAATATTTTTTTTTTTTTTGTTAGAAATATATAAATTGTTCGATTTTTCAAAAACTATTAATTTAATTTAAAATAGAATAAATGTTAATATTTTTTAAAAATATTTTTTTCATTTTCAAAAAATGTATTTTACATTTTATGCGTTGTTTTTTTTTAAATTATTATTTTATGTTTTTATTAAATGATTTATTGAATTGTATATATTTAAAAACTTAGTTTATTCTATATTTTTATATATTTTTATAGTATATATATATTTATATATATTTTTTATATATAGTTTTATATTTTTTTTTCTACAACCATTTTTTAATGAATGGTCCATCTCCTCCTACTGTCTTAATTAATACATACGTTTTTGGTCTAATATAAGTACCTTGATCTCTGATGATTTCCCGTACGCCGTGGAAGAACCCTCGGTAGCGTGGCCTCAGAGAGCACTGGTCATGAATAAACTTCACCTGAAAATAATACAGACAGGGGATTAATATTTTGAGTAAGAAACAGAAATAAGAATGTATGAACGCAAATCATTTCTCCTTCTCTGAGAGTAAATCCATCATGATTACACAGTACACTGTGGTTCTCACAATATACAGTATGATGTGGCAGACAACTAGTTGTCCAGTGCGGTTCCATTCATTCAGCACAGGTTTGTCAAGAATGCAGTTGTGAAAATGTGCAGGTATCAGTTTGGTTAAAGAATGGTTCTGTCATGCTCATAAAAAAACCCAAAAAGCTGTATGAATCCAACCATATGATGGTGCTGCCAGTTTTGTTTTGTGTGAAACATGATAGTGGTATTAGGGATGAAGATAAACAGTGCGTAATCAACGTAATCGATGATGTCGACGCGTCGTTCCAGCCCTAATGTATAACCAAAATAACTAGTTACAGTCCCACCTTGACGGTCTCCATTGGACAGACCACCAACACCGCTTCAGCAATTCCCGCTCCAAGCCCACACAGTAAACTTCCTTTATTGTCAAGCCGACCTGTGGCGTCCCTCATCGGGTTACTAAGAACCTCGAATGTTCCAAACCTGCCATAATGTCAAAAACAAAAGCATAAGCAAAAGACACACTATTCATGGTGAAACAGGTAAAGACCAATGTTTCTTACCGTACTGCAGATTTCGGGATGGATCCGTAAAGCAGTGAACTAAGCCCTCTATACAGACCTCTCAACCCATGATCCTGCACTGTCAGCTTAACACAATCACCTGCGCAAAAATACAGGTTACACAATTTTATTTACACATTCAGTTAAACCCCCAGTATACATTAAGCTAAATCAAAGGAGAAACAAATGTCATTTTGTATGCCAAAAATGGAATACAAATTGAAGTGTCATACACAAGCTATTTCAGTCTGCATAGCTCTAAAGGCTGCTAAAGGCAATCGACCCCCAACACAATTTGGCTTGCCGTAAATACTTTGCGATCTATGGGAGATCTGAACCTGCGAAACCTACATCAGCCTTACCATTCATTTTATTAATGGCCGAGAGCTGAAATCCGCTTGTCAGCAAAACCAGTTACTTTCCAAGTGAACACACCAGGGAGATCATTGCAGAATGCACTCTCTGTACTTGTTTTGCTCTTTTTCAGTTACATCTACATACCCTAAATCCAACCAACAAACATGACCTATGCTAGTCAACATATCTCTATTTCCCATTGTCAGCCGCATTGTCGCTTGTAACAGAAGCAGGACAGAGTTGCAATAAAACGAAAGCATCAACAGATCTTTCTTCTGTATTGTGACATACATCTGAGAAAAATGACTCATTATTGGAGAAGTCCTAGATAAGTCACAAGAGAGAAGTCTGTTGTTTTCATCGAAAAGTACAGTTATGATATTCTGATTAAACATTAGGAGGACAAAAAGAAACATGTACACAGTAGCATGCTTTTAGAAATTAAATATTGGTGATTTTTAATGCCAGTTGCACTCACCTATCCCTCGGTATCGAGGAGGGTTAGCTCTTTCATCTAACTGTAGTTGGGTCTTCACGTACTCAGTTGGGAATGTGATGCAGATCTCAATGCCTCCAGCAATGCCACCTGGGTAAAAATAATATCATCAGTAAATAAAGCGTGCCTAAATTGCATTCAGTGACATCAGCGGCAAAGATTTGTTTCAAGCTTACAGTTGTTTAACTTCCATCAAGGACAAGTCAGTTTCATAAATGGTCATGTTGTTTTAGTTTTACTTGGTTTAAAACCCAATGTATGCAACAATATAATCAAACTAACAGTTTAAGTAGTTCGGTTGATATATTAATAAAGCATAATGTTTTAACTGCCCAAACCTATTTAAACAAATTAGTAAACAAATGAAATTTCTGGAAGCTACCATTTGGTTGACCCAGCAAAGAAATGCAGGTCTGATCTGAGAGTGAGTTTCACAGTAATGGCAGACTGTAAGGGTTATTGAAGGGGCCGTGCCAACATGGTCACGCATGATTGTTGTTGTGGGCTCGCGCATAATAGGGTATCGCGTGATTCACCAAAACATTGTGTGCTTCTAACACAAACACAAATACGCATATACCTGCAAGAATAGCCTTCCACGGATGGGTGATTTTTCTCCCTCCGATAGCAGCGGCCGCTAGATTCCTCTGGCCTGGGTAAATTTGGGGAATTGGGGTAAAAGTGCGCGTCGAGCCCCCGCCAGCGGAGGCAATCCGGGTCAGAGCTTCAGGATGCTGTTGCGGCGTGCATCCTCGTCTCAGTATAACATCTTTACACGGTCCCTCCGAAACAGAAAACGGTTTATACAAAGACGACATGATTTAAATGATGTTTTACGCCCAAAGTGAAAATCTGTGCCGTGTGTGACGACACGCTGGATGCGTCTGCCCAATTGGACGAAGACAACACAATCACAGAACGACCATTCCGAGGCGTGGCGCTGCGAGGAGCTCATGAATATTAATATAGAGGTCATGCAGCGAGCTCAGTCATTGGTCCGCTTGAAACATTTGATTAATCTATAACTCTACTCATCTTTCGTCATATTAATAACGTGTATTACCCGAAATAGTTGTTTCAGTTGTGCCTTACATCCACACCCACATTCTAGCGGTTTTTTTTCTATAATAATAATAGCAAATGTTTGATCGGAAAATGTCTTGAGTTCTTGAACTGTATTAAAATTATGCAACAATAATGGAATATGTTGAATTTACATTAATTCAATGTATAACATATTTTTTTAACGAATAAATAATTGTAAGTACTAAAATGTTGACCACATTCGTCAAGCTCGACCGTTCAATCCTATTATCCAAGTTATAGGACAAGTGACAAATGTGTGTTTATTAATGGGCCTATGTTTATTAGTTTACTAATAACTACAAAGCCACTTTTGGTCTCAACCAGTCTCAACTTGTCCTTATTGTGTGGTGATTTATTTAAGCTAAAAGAAAATGTAATTCGTTTTTTTTTTAATGCTGATGCCTGTTTGTTTATTTGTTTGTTATGTTACTAGAAATTGGCACACTCATGAAAGCAAGGCTTGGTTATAATTTTCTGAAAATTAAACTCCTCGTTTACTGAGAATTTGTTGTACATTTAGCCATTGAATGGTCCTCCGTGATTCTATATTAGGCCTACTTGACATGGTTTGGTCTCGTGTTAGGATGTGAATGTTGTGGGTGTTTGGGTTGGGCGCTGGTATAACCAGTGTGAATGTGAAGTGCAAGCTGTATTTGAAGCTTGTTTGCATGTTTGTTGCACACAAAAAACTAACACTTTTTTCAGCTAATAAAGTAGTGTATTAGCTACTCCATGCAGAACAGTACTTCAAGGATATCTTTTTACATGAATGTGGTTGCGGAGAAGAAGCTCAGACGTGTCCCTCAAATGCTGCCAGCAATTTCCCAATTTTTCACCCCACCTCATGGCCACACATTCCTATTGAGAGACAGGACCAGGACTGGAGATAAGAGCTCAAGGGTGACAATGATGGAGGCGGGTTTTGCTCTGTCGCTCCTTAAGTGAAAGGACATCTTTCTACTATTTATCAACTGAAGCAGAGCTTAAATTGCGATGGAGAACTGAACGGGGGGCTTGAATTGTATTTGTTAAGTCAATCAATTTAAAACTCCATATGATTTTCTTCAGACTGTTTGCATGTGGGTAGTTATTCAATTAAACTTTGAATAACACATGTACCCAAACAATTTCGGTTGTCTTGAAATGTTTCACACACAAGTCAGTGTGTGTGAACTCTAACAATTCACCCTCGCTGAGGCTGCTCGACCTTTTCAGCTCAGAACCAAATTATTTGAAATGGTAAATGGACTGCATTTATATAGCGCCTTCATAGACCTAATGGCCACCAAAGCGCTTTACATTTGCCTCACATTCACCCATTCATACACTCATGCATACACCGACGGCGGTGTCAGCCATGCAAGGCGCCAGCCAGCTCGTCGGGAGCAGCTGGGGTTTGGTGTCTTGCTCATGGACACCTCGACACTTGGTCAGGTGGAACCGAGGATTGAACCACCAACCTTTCAGTTCGTAGACAACCCACATGAACCACAGAGCCACTGCCGCCCCGTGGTTCATGTGATGGCACTTTCTGAGACCTTCCTCAAACTGCTATTCATTTTCCTATTTATCTAACTTTCACCTAAATGTATTCAAACAACATAGTATTATTCACTTTGACTCCATTGAAGTGTACTACTGCACAACTGATATACAGTATGGCTGCTATTGGTTAGTTTGGATTTTTCATAGAAAACCTATACTTTTTCTAGTGTTAGTCACTGAATGTTCCTTCCTTCCTTCCTTCCTTCCTTCCTTCCTTCCTTCCTTCCTTCCTTCCTTCCTTCCTTCCTTCCTTCCTTCCTTCCTTCCTTCCTTCCTTCCTTCCTTCCTTCCTTCCTTCCTTCCTTCCTTCCTTCCTTCCTTCCTTCCTTCCTTCCTTCCTTCCTTCCTTCCTTCCTTCCTTCCTCCTTCCTTCCTTCCTTCCTTCCTTCCTTCCCTTCCTTCCTTCCTTCCTTCCTTCCTTCCTTCCTTCCTTCCTTCCTTCCTTCCTTCCTTCCTTCCTTCCTTCCTTCCTTCCTTCCTTCCTTCCTTCCTTCCTTCCTTCCTTCCTTCCTTCCTTCCTTCCTTCCTTCCTTCCTTCCTTCCTTCCTTCCTTCCTTCCTTCCTTCCTTCCTTCCTTCCTTCCTTCCTTCCTTCCTTTCCTTCCTTCCTTCCTTCCTTCCTTCCTTCCTTCCTTCCTTCCTTCCTTCCTTCCTTCCTTCCTTCCTTCCTTCCACCCACCCATCCATCCATCCATCCATCCATCCATCCATCCATGTTTGTCCAGGATTACATGAAGACAGACTAAATCCAGAAGAACTGCACCAATGTCTCCAAGACACTTGAAGAAACCTAGAAAATATGGCTTTTCAAATCAATTGATGTTACTTGGTTTTAAAATGCTAATAGTAACATAATGCATTGCAGGCTTGTTTATTTGTGAAACTGAGTTGGCTTGTCCTGTCCTGTTCTATCCTGTCCTGTCTCAAATTCAATTAATTTAGGCTGTTATTCTTGTTTTGTCTCATATAAGCCAATAGGACACTTCTGGCTTCAGAATGTTGCTAGACTCAACCATGTTGACAATTCTCTCCAAGTGTGAACTCTTAGCTTGAGGCAACTTTGAGTCACACAGGTTTTGGCTGCCTCAGATAACACCTGAAACATGAGGTTTGTTCTTGAGATATGAACTCTGAATCTATATAAATATTTAAATACATTTAGTTCAGTGAATACGAACTTCTCCAGCCTCAACAACTCCCAACAGACATTGATATATCTAATCAGGCTGCATTGATTATGGAATCCATTATCAGTTTACCACTCCTGAAATAAAGATGACTTAACTGAGAAAGCCAAGCCTGGTCAGACTCCAAAAAAGTGACATCTGGTCCATAAAGTCCTCCGCTTAAGTATTAATAAATAAAAATTCAAACAGATTGTTTTAGACTCTTAACATTGTTGACAGTTTTAATGTAGGTCTATACAGTTTTAATGTATATGTAATATGTATATTTTTGACATACATCCTTAGTAAATACTATTTGACAACATTGCACATAATGCATTAGCATCATTTCAAGCTTATAATAGTAAAGACAAGAAATCCATGACTCTTGAAAGATCCGATTTCCTCACTGCTGACAAATGAAAAAGTATGTAATACAGTATAATGCTGAAATAAATAATTGGATTTCACTTGGTAGCAGTGAAGCAGACTGTCGGTTTTGACCTCAAAGAACAGTAATACTGTATTATTGAAATGCAATTATATTATTTCACAAAGTCCTGTCCTAAATTGTTTACCATGTATTACTAAAAACTATATTAAAAGAGGATTAAAAAAATATCAACAATTTCACAGCTTATTTCGCAACCATCAACAGACGGAGGGACATACTGGACTTTTACGAAGATGAACTGTTTCTCTGCTCATCAAACAACAGACATTTTACCTGCACAAAAAAAAAATCAAACAACAGTGATATCAAACAACAGTGCAAACAAAAAGTCAATAGAATTTATAATTCTTATATAAATCACACAATAGTGAACATTTATTTGCATCATACTATTTTTATGTTGTGTCCAATAACCGATGCACATCATAAACAACTACGTAAATGAAGAATAACTTGAAGCAAACTGAGTAAAATCAGGAGTACAAAATGTGTTTGTGGTTATAAAATACATACACTCACCGGCCACTTTATGAGGTACACCTGTTCAACTGTTCAATAATGTAAACATCTAATCAGCCAATCCCATGGCAGCAACTCAAGATGACTCAGGTCAAGATGATCTGCCGAAGATGAGCATAAGAATGGAAAAGAGAGCTGATGGTGCTCTTTTGGTGAAACAATTTACTTCATTGGAATGGTACAAAACTTAGTAAGGGTTTAGCACTTGCTACTGTGATTCGAAAAGGTTATATTGTCCTGAAAAAATAGTCACTTGAGTCAAAAATGTCCGCATTGGAAATAAATGGGAGACAAATTTTATCTAGTGAAAACGTTTGGTACTGCAGCCAAACAAAATCTTACTAAAACCTTAAACCTACAACCTTACATTTGCAACACAGTTTAGGTTTAGGGCGTTGATTTAGCAGTTTTTTAAAATATATATTTCACATAAAAATTGAAAATAGTATTTTTGTTCATTATTCGCAACAATAAAAGTAAAATTCTGTGACTTTTTTCACTTCAGCAATAATCTGCCTAGTGTCATCTTTGAAAATAGATAAAAATTAAGTCTCTGCTCAAAAGCATTCAAGATTTACCACAGTTTAAGTTGGAAATTTCATTTGCATGTCTAAGCTCAAAAAGTGAATAAATAATAATATAATTAAGTACCATAAAAAAACAAAGTATTTAATATAAATCATTATCGAACTAAAATGCAATCACTTCATTTAAAAAAAATTGGTCATTTTCTTGACTGACACAGAGCACCATAGGGTTAAATGACTTTGAATGTGGCATGGTTGTGGCATGTGTCAGACGAGCAGGTCTGGGTATCTCTGATCTACTGATTTTCACACAGAACCGTCTCTAGGGGTTAACAGAGAATGGTCCAAAAAAGAGAAAATATCCAGTGAGCGGCAATTCTATGAGCAGAAATGCCTTGTTGATGCCAGAGGTCAGAGGAGAATGGCCAGACTGATTCAAGCTGATAGAAAGGCAACAATCACTTAAACGTAACAGCCGAGGTCTGTAGAAGGGCATCTCTGACACACATTGAACCTTGAAGCAGCAAAACACACACCGGGTGACAGTCCTGTCAGCTGAGAACGGGAAACTGAAGCTACAATTCACACAGGCTCACCAAAATTGAAAAATAGAAGTCTCACACGATATTCAGTTGATAGGGTCAGAATTTGGAGTAAACAACATGAAAGCATGGATCCTGCCTTGTATAACAGTTCAGGCTAGGGATGGTGTGGAGGATATTCTCTTGCCACTCTTCGGACCCGTTAGTACCAATTGAGCATTGTTTAAAGGATTACAATTAAGGTTTACCTAATAAAGTGGCCAGTTAGTGTATTTACTTATATTATAATTATGAAAGTCAGAATTTTGACTTTTCATCAAAAAATATTTTTTTAAGTCTGTATATACAGTAAGCAGTACACTAGTATTCCATTTTGAACACAACTGTGCGTCTACTTACTTCATGCCAGCGCAGTGTATCACGTGGCAGCCCAAGATGGCAGTGAGGACAACAGCTGACAGAATCCATGGCCTCCTCCTCCTCCTCTTCCCCCCTCTTCAACTCTCTTGGCCTATCAGTGTCCCACAGGGGAAAAGATACAGAGCGAGAGGAGTGGGCTACTCCAAAATGAGGCCTAGGGTCTCGCTGGTAGTTGAAGCGCTCACCACTGGGAGGCAGTGTTAGATCCTCACTGTCCACCTGCAGCTAAAACAAAACTGTTACTGAACTGCGCCATCTAGAGTACAGATACGAGAATGACACGTTATATTTTGCAAAGCTAACTCTCTCAGTCTCAGCTACATAATTTACAACCAGTTGAGTTGGTTGCAACAAGATCCTGAAAGCATGCCAGGTCAAATGAAATCTAACCCCTGAGTCTATCTAGTGTCAAAAAGACTGACAAACTAGATCATTAATCTATTAACAGCATGGCCTATTTACACATATTAAAAACATGAGCTTGTCACTGTACCTGAGGTATGTTGAGGGCTTCAGTGGGTTGAGATTTCAAGCAGTACCAACAAAGTTCCAGGGCAACTCCTGTAGTGAAGTGCACACTCATTAACTCAGGTTTCTTTGTGTGCCAACAAGATCTTTGAACAATATTTCACTAGTACTAGCTATAGTTTTATGTTTACTAAAGTAAATTAGGCCTGTATTGGACATAGTTTCCCATCACCACCTGAGTAAATATCATTTGCATTTCAGGGTTGAATATTTACACAAGGACAGCATTTTTAAATACTCCTTATCCGTATCATCAGTGTAAGCATTTATCAGCTGGGTAACAGTGACAGGTTTAGACATACTCTGTGTGTGTACAGGAGTCGCTGCCAAGGCCTGTGTAATGTTTGGGGTCTGACAGGATTCAGGTTTCTCCTGTGTAACACTCTCACTAACACAACAGCTCCCTTCCTCACAGGAAACACTCTGTCAAGCAACACAAAGAAAGAGAGGGATTAGCAGGGACAGTTAGGCTAACAAAGAACACATTTTGCGTTCATGTAAATGTATACTTGCTGCATTTCAGACGTTTAAAGACGCAAAGTTAAAATAAGAAAGACAAATTATCTGAACTTTTAAAGCTTGTCTCATGACCATGCGATTCTTCTCAATTTTACTGTGCAGTCTGTCATGATTTTTAATTGTTTTATGTAAACATACGCACTGCCCCTTGCATTTTAAGACGCCAAGTTAAAATCAGTAAACATAGGGTAGGGAAGATGGGGGCTGCAACCGAAATCGCATACTTCCCTACTAGATATTAGGTGAAGAACAGTACACAACAAAATGAGTAGCTAAGTACCCAGATGGCCTACTACTTCCAGTGGGATTCTGAAGTGTGCATTTGATATAAACTTCTCAATCCCATAAGGCAGGCCCCATGTGTATCCGATTTTAGCCAGGGTATTGATGTAATATGGGGAGTAACACAACCAATTCCACCAATCAGGGATAACTAGGAGTCCTATGATCATTTCAGTGTTTACCCACTTCTTCTTGGATCCTATAATGATTGGCTGTATCCGAAATTGCATACTCTCTTGAGTAGGTACTTATTTTGAATAAATAATTACTTGAAAGCCGCTAAAAAAGTATGTTCTTTATAGTATGAGTGTGTGTAGTGTGAATGTAGGCTACATTCGTCATGTTCTCATTATCATGTGACCTACGGTGTCAGTTCGAATCTGACGAATCCTCTCCTGTGGCCCCATAGGATTGTAAGAATCCATTATATTTATATTCATAGTATTCTATATATATGCACACTTCAGAATCTCACTGGAAATAGTAGGTCATCCAGGTACTTTTTGCCTACTCTTTTATGAGTAGGCTACTGTGAATTCGGCCATATTTTAATGTTTTTCACCAATTTAGTAGGGAAGTATGCGATGACGGATGCAGCCATTGTCAAAGCTGGAAATAGGCACATGCAGATCAAGAAAACACTGATTAAGTGGTAAGAAAGTAATTGTTTTTGCCAAAACCAGATTTTGTTTAGTAGGCTACAAGTAGGCTAAAATGATTTAACATAAGATTAAATTGTAGTTTCTCTGGAAAAATGAGATGCCTTTTTAACCTGCTAAATTCAAACCATTTTGCTAATATGGCTTGCTAAACACTGGCTGATCTTTAAAGTGTTACAATCTCCTTACATATAAGAACATTTTTCTTTTTAACAATTTTACTGATTTCCTATAAAAATTAAAAATATAGACAGATATTTTTAAGGAATTGGTGAGGTTTCAAAGGCCAGTCAGATCAGTTGCGAAGACAGCGATGAAAGCCAGTGGTGAGAATTTTTAGACCTTAAACAATTAAATATTTTGTGTTTGTTTGTATGGAGCCATTTGGCAGCTCAAATCTAATGGAAATGTGGGTAAAATGTACCCTGCAGTTTCTGGGCCCACCAAGCCTGCACTCCAGGGTTAACAACATTCATTTATCACCACTGTGACTCTGATTGAGAATATTCACACACAGACTCACACATTGACAGTGTTTTTTACACAGGTGTAATAGTCAAGTGTTTATTAAGCATATTAGACTAATTTACACACATGCACACACTCGGATTTGTTCTGTTACAGAGCCATTGTTTTGAATTGTTTCATTAAACATATTTCGTTAAACATATTAAATATGTGGCCTCGGTTTTTGCATATTTTGTTTAGTTGAATTGTTACTTAGCCAACATCCAACCCCAGTATAACGTTAGTGAGCCTGTAACCCGCTGTGAAGTTTAAGTAAATAAAAACTTAAAGTTGTTAACATTAAAGTATAAACGCGTCTGACCTTGAGTTCTTTTCCATTTCACTGCTCATTTTTTTCAGTCATGTCACCTAACTGACGCCTTGGGAAGCATTTGACCATGCTTCAATATCTCAGTTAGATGACGCCCTAGGATCGCGTGTACCCTACCCCCACCCCACACCTAAACCTAACCGCGTCCTCTAACTGACGCTTTCCTTTAGCGTCAGTTAGATGACGCCGTAGGATCGCGTGTACCCTACCCCCACCCCACACCTAAACCTAACCGCGTCCTCTAACTGACGCTTTCCTTTAGCGTCAGTTAGATGACGCCGTAGGATCGCGTCATGTGAGTGACGCTAAAGGGCGCCTAAAACGTCAAATATTGAAGCATGGTCAAAGGTGACGCCTTGGGGTGAGAATGTGTTGTTTTTTTTACAACAATGTCAACAGATTAAACTTAATTTAAACTGTATGGAATTATAATCATTGAAACTGAAATATTTTCACACAACTAATATAATTTAGAAAATAACTGATACCTGAAAATCCCTTAGTGTCATCATTATTAATCTCTGTACTGATTGGTCCATTGATAAAGAACAACTCTGACCTGCTGCTGTTGATCCTTTGGAGAGTTTTGTTCCTTGTTGCTGTGATCTCTCGAACTCATTCTGTATTTGTGTAAGAAAGACTGAGTGTAGAGATTAAAAGCACATGTTGTTTTTGTTTATTTTTACATTTGAATAGAATCCTTAACACATTAACTTCTTACACAGTGCCTAGACGGTCGGACTAGTCTCAATTCCAGCTTTAGGCTACCCCTTACCAGGAGGATATCAATTAATCCATCTGTCTACAAATTACACTCAAGAGGCTTGAGTGTCCCCAGCTGAGACCTTTTAACGCACTCTGACACAAACCAAAACATCAGCAATTAAGTGTTGTGGAGCTCACTTACCCCACTTGGGCCGCTTGGTCGTCATTAACCATCCCCGCCATCTCACTGACCTCCCGTTTCCGTGGGACAACCTCTTTTTGTTTAATCTGCTCTCTGGTTCGTTCTCTCTCTAACCCCTTCTTCTCACGAAACGGAAACTGTGGCTATTCAATATTTGATGAATCTCAATGGCTCACAAGCAGATTTGCTGTAAAGAGTGACAGCAGTGGAGCTCAGGTGTCGGGCTTCGTCTGCTTTAGTCAGTCAGCAGTCTGGACTCCCCAGCTGAGGATAAACACCCCTGAGGGACATTTTACCCCATCTGCCACAATAGCACTTGATGTAAACATCAAATGGATTACGCCCTAGAGACAAGAGGTCTGTTTGCACACACAGTGTGGACCTAATATAGTACCTAAGAGTGAGCGTGGGTGCATGTGGAGCAATATCTATGAGTGTGTGTTCAAGTGTTGTCCCTGTGGGCTTTTAGAAAATAGACTCTCTTTAAGCACTTAAACACTCTAATTTCATTTGTCTCCTAACAATGTCTGACAGTGAATAACTGAGAATTCTGTCATTTGTTCTGCATTGACATTACCGTCACATCATATATATTATGGATTGTATTTAATAACATTCTGGTGACATTTTATGACATTTTATGTAATAGCAAAATATTAAATACGTGCAATTAAATAATATTGAATTAACACTTTTCACATAATTTATTTAAATTACTTGAAATATTGAGTTTATACCTTAGCAAATAAATAGACTAATATAGCTGATTATGTTAGAAAACATAAAAATGTGTGTGTGCCTGTGTGTGTTTTCCCTGTCATTGCAAGTTGACGTATAGGCTGCGTTCGAAAGCTTAAAATTTATGCTTTCTGAGGACACATTCCAAGGTAGCAAGGCATCAAAGCACGTCCAAATCCAATGTTAGCTTCAATTCCAAGTCTCCTGAAATACCTTCATATCTGATCGAGTTTTGAATGCAGCATAGATGTGTCCTTTGCTGCCTGTGATATTCCACAATCCTGTGCTTTCCATTCTGTGACAGGAGAGTAAAGATGAAAAAGTAAAGAGAAATTAAAGATGACATCTGAAAGTCACGGTTGGTGGTGAGTTTGAGTCTAAAAGTAATTTTTTTAACCAACGTTTTCCACTTCTGATCGCATTTCAAGTGAGAATATTTGCTAATTTCACACCAAAGCTCGCTCTATTTAGCTGTAGATCATTAAACCATTGCATTGTCTCAAAAGTCTTTCCGAAATCAGTTTCGTGAGGTGCTTCATGCACAGATTTCAAGGTTTCCTATTGTGTGCTAATTTGTTGTTTCCATAGTTACTGATTAGTTTCACCATGGATTTCAGTTAGCTTGTTAGCAGTTAGCATTTGTGTTTTGTTTTGGTTCTGTTCTGTTCCTCTTCCCTTGTTTGTCCTGAGCAGATAAACTTCCCAAAGTTCTTCAGAAAAAAAATCCCTCAGGTCCTGCAAAATCTTCAGTTTTCCAGCATCTTTTGCATATTTGAACCCTTTCAAGCAGTGACTTATTGATTTTGTGATCAATTTTTTTTCACACTGAGAACAATGAGGGTCTCAAACAGAACTAATATATATATATATATATATATATATATATATATATATATATATTTCTTATGTTGCTTAGATGTCCATTTAGTACTGCCCTTCGGAAGCAACACAAGATACTTCCATGTTTCCTGGAAGACAAATTAGGTCAAATTTTTGATCTTCAAATCCAAAAAGATTTCACCCACCAGCTCTTAATGCATCTTGTTGTTTCCTTCCATGCTTTCCTTCCCTCCTTTTAAAATATATTAATAAATAAAAACAAATATCCCCTCTGGACATCACTTTCTTGCCTTCAGTGGAATACTTTACTGTCTTCCTTTTTTTGTGTGACAATAAAGAAAACATTGAAATCTATTACTTTTAACCCCTGGGACAAAAAAAAAGTGTCCATAGCTGAAGGAACGCCCCTATATATGAGAGTGTTCAGTGCTAGAGGAGGTAGGCAATGAGCTTGTTACTCTGAAGGTGGTCCACCACTTTACAGAGCTGCTGGATAAGTACTTATAGAGGGTGAGTCACTCAGATCTTCACCTTTATTCTCTCGGTTTCACTCACTCCCTCCATTCTCTCTGACTCTATCAGCTCCTCAACCCTCTTCACCTCCCCCATTTCTTTTTTAAATGCGGCAGGCACCAACCCAACCGGCAGATGAATGAAATGTTGTTGTTTTTCCACTCACAGTTAACCTTCTGCAGGTGTTTCTGCAGAGCCGATCGTTTGTGATCAACACTTTTCAGTAGATTCCGGGTGCTATTAGCTCGCGTGGAGCAGACATAGTCATAATACACAGTTTCTATACTTCTATTTACGTCAATACACTTCGGAAAAGATAACCAGCCACATTAATCAGACATATCTTGATATTTATGTCATTCCTTTTGTTTTTACTGTCAGAGAATTCAAAGCTTTTTAATGGAAACACGAGTGCTGGTGCATGCTGGGAGCTGAGAGCCTGTGCGCCCCTGCCAGTGCTGTCAAAGAGCATTCTCCCCCCGGCGGGTGAAATGGAACATTTTGAATTGATTCTGAAAGAAAACCATTTCACACGGCCTTTAATATGATACCTCTAGTACATGACATATTAAAGCTGCAGTCCGTAGCTTTTTGTTGGGTTAAAAATGATCCAAACTACATTTTTTGAAAAAAATACATAACCACTATCTGCTTGCCTTAGCTCGATTCAAAACGGTAAGCTTGTAATAATGTTTTTAACTCCAGTGGTAATAGTGGATTTCCACCGGAGATTCGAGCATGTCTTTGCGTCATTACGTCATCTGTACACATAAAGAAGAGACTCGGCTAGTAAGCTATATTGAGTGTGAGGATGTTGGAGGAGGAGATTTATAGCCTTTTCTCACTGCACGTGATATAATTAAACTTATCAATTTGATGGCGGATCAGAAACAACAACCAGTGACAACAGATTCATCCGTCATAAAATGCAAGACTTTGTTCGGACTTTGGAGTGAAAAAAAGAGAAGTTAACAATTTGAGAACGAAGTATAATTTGCACGGTTTTGCGTGATATGATAAGTGAATGTTAGATTTAATCAGTGTGATTTACTGCAATGTCAGAACCAGAACAAAAGTGGATGTTTCTTGTTTAGATTACATTTTTTTTTATGTTGGTCATACTTCCAAAAAAGAATAATCTGTGATTCTGAATGCCAGTATCCACACCGGCGCTGTGACTGACAGCTGCACACTCTCCTCAAACATTGTGTTCATCCAAGCTGCGCCGTGTCAAGGTACAACTCTCATAAAGTTGATAATTCCGCGCAAAACTGCAATTGCAGATTTCGAACAGAGATGGCGACAAAGAGAAAAAACTGCAGACTGCAGCTTTAAAGCTGTATGCCCACATATCAGCCGCCATACATTACAACATAACAGAACAAGCTACATTTGAAATCGACGAATGCTGTTTGACGGCAGAAACTGGCGTAAATGCAAAAACATCCCGTGAGACACAACGGCAGACACTGGCAATCAGCTATTAACACACTGACAGCTCTTACGGCGAGAGCAGAGGGTATAATTGAATGGTAATTACATGGTAATTATCATCATGCATAAAGGTTTGGCGTACAGAAAAGGATTGGGGGGAAGAGGAATTTTTTATTTTATCTTTTTTTTTTTTAACAACCTCTCCGAGATTTTAAATGATTCTGTTCAATTATGGCTAATCACTGAAATCCAGGAAGGGCATAAATGGGGGTTGTCTATCTACAAAGGCAGCAGAGAGCTTCAAGGCACTTTGAAGCACCTTAAAGCGCATATGTCACGGAGAAAGTTTCATCCAAGAGTGTTTTTTTTTCCTGTGCCGTGTTGTTCGGTTTGGCTTGGCAGAATGCATCATTAGAGCTGCTGTCTGAGTCACAGTCATTATCAGGCACTTTTTTACCTCTGAAGTGCTGGCGCCACTATCATCAGGCTGTGTTTATGCCTGATTTTTGCATGCATGCGATCACGAGCATGAGCAACAGATGGAGAACGTGGGGCCGCAGTGTACATTAATGACTCGGAACGTTTGGTGTGTCAAGGTTTTGACCAGTCAGGCTTCCATTTATAGTAATTACCGGAGTATTTTAACAGACTCTTTGCATATTTCAATAAAACTGTTTCAAAATGGAGGATGAGGCAGAATGTAAGTGGCCATGACTCACCAGCCCCCGACAGCAGCACCGTGAGACTTCTCCACACTTATGCTGCTCATTCACGGCCCTCTGCGTTTTTTTTTTCCGACACAAAAGCTGAAAGAAAGAAAGGAGAGAAACACATCAGAGGCTCATAAACAACTGTCCCCCATAGCCACCGCACTCTGGTCACTAATGGAAAATTTTCGTCTACCATAGCAATGGTTAATTTTCAGTGGGATTGACCACTAAAGGCAGCTGGAGACGTTTAGAGTGCATCAGTACGATAATGAACGTCTGTTTGGGGTTAAATCGCACTATTATTGCCCGGCGTAAGGTCTTAATGGCGTTTTAACCAAATGCAAGTGTAGTTTGAATTAGAGAGCAAGGTGTGTTTGCAGGTTGGCTAATGCAGGTGTTTTTTGAGCATAATTGAGTTCTGCATTGTGTCCAAAGTCAGGGTGCGGGGGGAGTGGGCTGGTGTTTGTGCCGGTGTGTGTGTAGCGAGGAAGAGGGTATAAGTGCTGGAGGTTCTGCAGTGGTGCATGGCAGTAGATGACTCACCCGTCAATCATGTGACTCATTAATCACTGCAGCTTTCTCTCTCCCCACCCCTCTCTTTCATTTGGTCTCAGTGTGTCTCCATGTCTATTCCCTTCACATTACTCTCCTTTTATTATTCTAAGTTCTTTTTATTAGCGAATGACTTTCATCTAGCAGCGTCTCATTGAACAGAATCATTCTCAGGAGGTTGAAAAGACGGATTTGCTTTTTGCTAGTTATTCAGATCTTCTTTCACATAATTCTGTACATGTTTTGGTCTCATGTTTGGTAAATACTTCTATGTATTTTATCGTAATAATCAGAACTCGTTCAAATGAACATGTTTGTTGCGGAACATGAGCAATAGAGTCGTGACTTGTGAGGGTTTTTAAGAATCAGAGCAGCATCTCTATCTTTTTCATTAGAGATCTTCTCAGGTACATATAGGTATGCGAGTAATTGGAGAATAAAATGTGCCTCTATAGTTAATCGGTTTGTGGTTTCAGTGTTCTGTTATAATACAGCATGAGAAAGTGCTTGTGGAAAATACAGATAAAATTCAAAGTAGTACTGGGCATGCTGGTTCAAACTCTCTGTGACGTCAAATGCAATTTCTGCTACAGGTGAGATAAGAAACGGCATATGTTGTCCTAGCGAGAACCCTCTGTGGTACAGAAATGTATTAATTTCTGCTCAGGATCTGATCAAAGACGTTCCAATAAGACATTTGTTAAAAAAACTGACTTTAATAAAATAATTGCTTTTATTTTCGTTATATAGCAAAACTAGTAATCAACATGCTGTTATTTACACATTGCACACACATTTGTTTATTTGACACTGTACAACTTACAATCTGAAAGTTGACAACAACAAATTCCTTTCACAAGACAGTTCACTGATGAAAACACTTGCTATAGTAATTAAAGTTGTCTTTCTTTGTTTTCTTTTTTTATTGTTAATTTTTAAAATAATCACAGTTTGATCAAGGAAAATTTTCCCCAAATTTGGCAGATTTTTTTTTTTGTTTTTTTTTAAAGATGCAAATACAGATAGACGTGCAAACTGTTCACCCTCAGAGTATTCCTCACAAACTTCAGACGGTTTAAAACTCATTTTTAGGAACAAACATTATACTATACAGCGTTCTGTTGGCTCCCATAACAAAGATCCTGTACTCGGTGGTTGAACATTGGAGGTAACCCACAGTAACAGGGGCTTTTTTAAAATGTCTTCCAAATTTTGGCAAGATGTGAAGTTGACTTTCAATCACATGTGTACAGGTATTCCACCAAGTAGATTGACAGGGCACTGACCTAGCAAAGATATTCACCATTTTGCATTTCTGTGAATAAAATGGAAGATTTCCTTTCAAGCATTGTTTACAGCCTGCATGACAGAATTCTTTTTTTTCTTTTCTTTTTCTTTTTAGTGGTGCAAGACCTGCATGCACATGGATGAGCTAAAACAGTGATCAGTATTAAGGCAATAGGAACATTGATCAAAACAATCCAACAGACCTTCAGGAAAAGCCTGTAATAATTGGACAGTTACTTGTTTGTGTAATTAGTGCCATAGCAATTATTACTGTGCCCTGCAGTGTCAAGATCTCAACCACAAGCTTTGCTTTTCAATTAATCAAGTGTTTCCTAAAGAAAATAAATCTTTGTATAAACATGGGTCTCTTGCATTTGGCACCGAAAATGTTTTCATTTTACCGTTTTGTCTGCTTGTTTTTGTTTTATCTTCTTTTTTTGTGTGTCCTTTTTTTACATGCAAGAGAATCAAAAACATACCTGAATGAAACCTTACAAATTCACCTGTGTATTCTCTCACCAAATTAAAATGTAAACTGCGAGAGAAACCAAATGAGTGCACGCAGAGAGGTTCTGATTTGGCAGCACCGTCTCTTCCGTTCCTGATTTGGAATGTATCAAAACACAAGAGTGGAGAAGAAACACCTAACTGCCTTTTCACAGCCCTGTCACTCAAATTCCCTGTCAGCCTTTTCTCCTCACTCTTTCATCGCTTGTTTCATCGCTTCAGAATATCCTGAACTCGCGACTGCCTAAAATAACCTACGGTTGTAATAAATCTTCTCAATGAAGTTCTCCAGTTCTTCATCGCTTTCCTGCGGAGACTCGGGCTCGTCGTACACATAGTCTGGTGGGTAGATGTAAGAAGGTGCTCTCCCACTTGGAGGAGAACGTGGTTTGGGCATTGGGAGAGCCTGGTAAGTTCGGGGATGGGGTAGAATGTAATTAGATATGACAGTGCCCGGTTGTGGGTATTGGCTCTGCGAGCGTTGAGGGGCTTGCGCCCATTTCCAGTCCCTCGCTTTTGGCCTGTCTCTATACCTGCGGTTTGGAGGCTTCAGACCGTATCCCATGGAGCCCCCAAAGTTGTAGTCAAATGACAGAGCAGGATTTGTATAGAACCGCGGCTTTGGGGGCGGGAAGAAGACCGGGTAATAGGCTCGATATGGCTTCTGATAGTAGGGGAACGAGGGATAGGCCAGAAACTGCTTCTGCGGCTTAAACCAATAGTCCTGCTTGCTGAGCTTGCCTTTGTTTTTTTCCTTGTACCATTTCTTATATGGATCAGCTTTATAAGAGGATTTCTTATGCGACTTGGGATATTGATTCACCTGAGGCCTTGGCTTGGCTTTGAGAGGAACCAGAGGGCGGAAACGAGGGGTGTTACTCGGGGGTAAATCCTTCCTCTTTTTCTTCTTCTCCTGCACATCACTGATTATTTCGACCACATCGTCAGCAGGCAAGTGCAGTTTGCTGGAGATCTCGATCAGCTTGTCGATGGTCTGGGGATCCATCTCGTCGTCATCGTCGCTGTCCTCCACCTCGTTCGAGCGCTTGTCCTCGGCCACATTGTTTAGGAGAGCCGCCGCCTTCATGTCGCTCATGTAGGATGACGCTTTCTGCTTCCTGCCCATGTACTCCAGCAGCATGTCAGAGGCAATGTCCGCCAATCTCTGCTCTTCCTCACGTGCCTCCTGCGCCTCCGCCTCCTGCCGACTCACCTCCTCCTGCTCTGCTCGAGCCTGTGCCTCCTCTTCCTTGCGGGTCAGAATCTCCTCCTCCTCTTCTTCCACAAAATCGAAACCATCCATGAAGTTTCTGTCGAGCTGGGATGGGTTTCTCGTTCGCTCCTCCTGCCACTTCAGCTTTTTGGTCGCCTGGGCCAACTGCTGGTTATAGGCTTTGTAGCCTTTTAGAGGTGGGAGGATCTCATTGTCTTGCAACCCGAGGTCAATGTTTTGGAAATAGCCCCTGGCTTTGCGCTGGAGTGTGGCCACATTAGACTGACTCTGCAGTTGCCAGTCTTTAGCCGCATTCACCCCGTCCTCCTCCTCAATCTCACTTTCATCCTTTAGCTTTTCTTGTCTCTCGTTTTCCTCACCTGGCTGTACTGCCTCTGATGATTTCTCTGTGCCCTGCTCAAGGTCTCCCTGATTCCTTGTTTCCTCCACTGCGAGTCCTTCTTCAGAATCGCCCTGGGTCATCTTTTCTCTAACTGGGTGATCGAGAGCCTCAAGCAGAACTGAAGCTAGAGCACTGGCAGAGTCCATATTTGAGATATGTTCCTGACCCAAGGGTTTCTGGAGCAGGCTGTCCACTTCCCTATGTGTCCAAGCAGCTCCTTCTGCTGCCCCCGGGTTCTCTTTTGCCAAGTGGAGTGCCTCATCGATGCTGCTGCTGCTGACTGAAGATCTCTGCGGAAGTGCAGGGGCAGCCAGGGCCAGCAGGGGGGTGAGGCTGAGGAGGACTAACAGGAGAGCTGAGGTGCTGGAGGGGTAGCAACAGCAGAACATGACCATGCAGAGAGGACAGGATGGGGGAGAGGGGAGCACCTTACAAAGATAAAAAGAAAAAAAATGTGATTAATCTCTGTTGTTTTTTTCTTTTTTCTGAGTAATAATAAGACTACCGTTTATGACGCTTATATTTTAACATTTAGTTTCCAGAGCAGCACAACGTGCGTGCGCGGAAATCTGCTTAACTTAATTAGTACGATCACATAATAAATCGTGCAGTTGTTTTACAGCAGTACGTCGCCAGCAAAAAACAGTATCACTTTTTAAATCAAATTAATTTTGACGCTTTAATTAACTTGAGTCCACACACAGAAACCACCAGAAAAAAAAGAAAGAAAAAAGATCGAGATGATTCCCTGGATGCCTCTTCACCGATCACTTTTTAGTCGGATTAGCGAAGCACAACAACAAGCCTGAATTTGGTAAATGATAGCTATAGAACTACACTGTCAGTGGAAATTGTCTTTCTTGAAAATAATCTAGAGACTCGAACGTGGGCTATGTATGAATGAAACATTATAAATTCACCTGTGCTCTGACAAATTCAGCAAGATAAAAATATATGTCAGTCAATCAAGCAATAATTATTTTCTTGTTAATTATCCATATAAACACAGTATGATTTGGATAAAATGAATACTAGCCTACCGTTTTCTTCACTCGATTTTCAAAGAATTAACTCTAAGTGAACTAGCCTTTTATTCATAATCTACGCATACAATCACAGAGTATTTTGTATTGTTTAACAAAGAAAATCATAGACATCACATCTCAAGTTTATATTGTTAGAAAGATACCGATCCGGATCTTGAATTCTTGCAACAACAAAAAAAGGCGTTTAGAAATTTATGAATGAAACGCTTGTTGATCGTTCGAGCTGTATATCTTTGAATGACTGAGATTCAACAGCATGCAATCTCAAAGTAAATATCAGCGGAAACTTATTTCTATCCCTTTATAGCCTCTCTCTTTTTTACAAAGAGAAATATTAACAATTTACCGGGTGAATGTAAGAAAGTCAGTGCACTTAGCCTACTCACCTGATTTCACGAACAAAATAGCTGGAAGTCAAAACCTTCTGCTTCTTGGATGAGGCTTGGAAACAACCACAATCCTTAAATTCATTTATAACTTAAGTTAAAGTAAGTTATCTTCCCAAAACAATTATTTGAAACACACTTCGGTCTGTCTTGCACTGTTGAGAGATGAATGCGAAGCGTGTATTTTTTTTCAGGACCACGGACAGCGCAACTCCCATTTGTATAGACGCGTCTGGACACGTGATCGACGAGTCATAACTCCGCTGTTGACGTCAGACTCTCCATTGATAAGAATTTCGTGTCTCGTTTGAACTCGGAGGGTACGCTACGGTGCTCTGATGAATGAACAGAGATTGCATGAATGAAACAGTCTCTCCATTAAAAACAGAGCCCCGTGGAACACAGTGAAAACACTGCTAAATTTACTCATACATAAGCTAATTCTGAGTTGATTGAGCACTGACGATTTGCTATTTTAAACATTATGGATCTAAGTTTTAAAATCAGTTTATTTGCAATACATAGGACGTATTTATATGGCATATGTATCCAGTAGCCTATAAATTGACACTATCAGTTACTTAGCAGACCATTTTGGCCTGTTGATTGTTTGTGAGGTGTCCTTAATCAGAGCTGGAGAGACAGAACGGTTGCACCCACCGTGACGCGAGCGGTTCAGCTTCACTGCTCTACTTCCGCTCAATTTCCCGAGCTCGTTCAATTTTCCGCTCTTTGTCTCCTGCCGCCCCTGACTTTCATCCATCTGTCTCTTACGTCATTCTCATGCTTTTTTTTAATTATATGAAATGAATGTACAGGTAAGCCTCAGTTACTCCCTTGACCATCCATTAATCCAGAAACAGTCAAGACGTTTCATGAAGAGAGCAACCTATTGGTGTTCTCTCTTCTCTTGCAATTATGCGAGATAAAAATTCCGTATCGTGGTTTAGAACCTTTACATGAATACTGTAGGTTTTAGGAATAGGCCTAATTGGAAAAGGCTCGCGTGGCATTGGAGCCAACAGCAATCCCGCCAATCACAGTTTATGATTCGTGTAATTGGATTAGTTGCAGTGCGGATATTGAAGTCCCACGAGCCACACTCGAAATGACAGCATCAAAGCGGTCTCATTATAGAGTGGGAACCTTATTTCAATATTTTCAAAGGTTGCATCCAATAGATTCGTGTTCTTGAATTGACCCTTCCTAACCCTATTATTGTGTATGTTTGCTTTTTATTTCATTTTATTACCGTTATTTCCAAGTAGCCAATTTAATCAGGTTCATGAAAAAAGGTTCAAATCAGAACCAAAAGGGTTTGCAGCCTGGTGTCATTGCAGAACCTTTTTTTTATTATTATTATTTTATTTTAAATAGCCTGCCTTTTTACCATGCATGGTGCGTTAAATAAACATACACAGATCTAAAGAATCTATAATGAAACATAAAAAATTACAATTTAAATCTCCAAAGAACCATATAACCAGACCAAGAACCATGTACAAGTTTGGGAAAAACTAAAATGATGAACTGCAGAACCATAATTTTAAAAGTGGCAATAAAACAAATGGTGCGTTTTACGCTCCAGATAGGTAGAGGTATACGCCCTGATGGTATAAATATTTTTCAACATCTATACAGTGCCGAGAAATAACTTTTGTTTTTTAAGTTGACAGGGAAAATGATTCTTTAAAGAAATTCTTTAAAGAAAAGGAATTCTTTAAAGAAAAATGCGGCATCCAACAAAAGGTTTCAAAGGGAAGCGCGAATGGCTATGAGTGTGAATGCGTGTCCTTTCTACCTTGGTGGCGAATAATTTAAGAGCTCCAAGGGCCAAGGGTCAGATTTTGATACGGCTTGGCATTATCGACTGCCACTCAGCATTAGCGCAGTTGCGACCCTTAACCAGCGCTCTCCATCCCCCGCGCTGACTCACCTCCTCCTAACTGCCCATGCACATACAGGACCCAAAATGCCCACTCAAGAAGAGAATGAATACTTTATATGCTAAAACTTAGGTCGAACAAAGAAAAAATGGCCAAAATAGGGGATAAAGGTGCGTTTGAAGCTTTTCTGGGTATATGGGATGATAGAAATTATTGTTCACACCTGCACAAGGAAAAGATTGGTCAAGACTGTGGGGGTTTTGTAGACACGTTGGCTGCAATTATGAAAATGTATGTTCAGATGCACTCAAAAAATGTCCACCGCCTAATGGAAGCGCCATAACACGCTCATGAATAAAATAATTCATACTCCCACGAGACTGAAAAAAAAGCATCGTCCTGGGATCGATTAATTTTCCCATTTCACATTTTACTCAGCTGCGGCTTGAGCTTAATGGTGTGTAGCCCAAGCCTCGCGCCCACACACGAACATCGCATCTGTTTTGATGGCAAATTCTCGTAAGCGACTGCTCTCTTGAGGCTATAGGCTCGGGTTTGTCGAAAATGTCTGACTGAAAGGTGCCTCAGTCCATGCGCCCCGTGGCACATTTAATCACTTGAGGCTGACGAGTCAAACCCCATAATGTGGGCTAAAATTACTTCTAAATATTGACAATGAAGAACCGTCCCCATCGAGACAGTTCATTCTGACATTCTGTCAGCACGCGCTCTTTGACCATTGCCAGTGTGACTAACTTGCGCGGGCAGCAATGATCTGTTCGTTTTATTTAGGCTATTCTTTGAAATGTGCCATTTTTAAAAAATGTCGTCCCAGGGGAGTGTTTGACCGGAATATCTCAATATTTACAGTTTGAACAGTTCGTAACACATGGTAGCGTAGCAGTCCTCGCGTGCGTACTCATTCTGTTCCGCGCGCTTCACGTTAACCAAAAGTGTTCACCCGTATTGTCGCGTGTTGTCGCTAAGCACTTTGGGCATTTGAAATATTTTAAGAATAAATGGTATGATGCCACCAACATGTTCATTATTTTCTGTCGTAGAAAACGACATTTTGCGTTGTAAAAATACATAGGCTATACAGTCGATTTGTTGCCCGCTTGTGCTTTTAAAAAGGCAGTTGTTGAAAAAATAGAAATAATATAGGCTATTCATTGTAAACTCAATTTTGCCGTTTCCTTATAGGCTGTATTTACGTTTTGTCCTATGAAACCCTTTGGTCAGTCAGTGACATATTACGTCGGAGGTTGGCTTCGTATTTGGAGTTAATGAGCCGATTGATATCAGCGAGAGTCACGGTTCCCTGCCATCAATCTCTCTTTCTTTCTCGGGGAGAGAGGATGGATCAGCTCGCCCATAGACTTGGTGCAAGCGATGTTCAAATAAAAGCATTTACTTGTTCAGTTAGATTAAAAGATAGTTATGTCTCGACATTTTAGGAGACAAAAGTCAACACATTTAAATCATTTTACGTATTTTGTGTGGTCACACTTACAAAATATTAAATAGGCTACATTTCTCTACATTTGTTAAGTGGTCTTCACTCTTTATCAAGATATTATGCTCTGAATAGCCAATTAGCAGACTTAAACGTCGACAGAAAAAACATAGTGAATGTCGTGGCTATATATCTGCATGATCTTTATTTCATTCACTAAATATAATCCATTAGCCTGCATATTAAGGGAAAACCACTAATGAGCTCGCAAAATGTATAGCCTAACGATCACACTTTAAATAAATGCGAAAATAAAAAGGAAATTATTTCAAAATATAGGCTATATTAGCAAAAATCTTAATATGTGTTTTATAAATAATATTTATAATTAGAGGGAGAGAAACAGTGACATGGAGTCGGCAAGACAACAGTGACTCAGAAATATAGAACTCTTATGTTTTGCCATATTTCGTGTAAAATAGCCTACGAGTTCATACATATTTGTAGATTCGTCATATAGGCCTACAACCAATTTATTTATTTGTTTCTTTTCTTTGTTTCTCATTTTTGGAAAACAAAGGACACCACACCACACGGAATGCTGATATTTTTGTGTCAGCGAATTTACGTATTGAATTATATAGGCCTAATTCAAAATTTTACTTCTATTTCCATGAAGACCGCTTTTAAGACTACATTAGGGACTTTAATAAATAGTCAATTTAGTGTAGCCTATTAAGTAAAGAGTGCTTATTAAACTGCTTTGTCTGAACGTACATGTCCTGGAAATAAATCCAGTAGAGGGCGCTAACATTACGTGGTACCAAGCGTAATGGCTCCTCTGTGACGTTGTTGCCCATTTCACATTTTAAGTTCGCATAAAGGCAAATATTAGGAGAGTGAGTGAGAGAGAGAGAGAGAGAGAGAGAGAGAGAGAGAGAGAGAGAGAGAGAGAGAGAGAGAGAGAGAGAGAGAGAGAGACTATCAAACTGTTTTCATCGTTCCAGAGATTTTATAAAGATAAGGTAGGCAATGCGTCTTTTGAAAAAGCCTTTTGAAGATAAAAGTCGATGGAATACTCAAACGAGCGAGTTAAGTATCATAAAAATAAAGATAAGACAAAAGATAACTGCGGTCTAAAACGTCCACAAGAAAATGTTATGGCCATTCAACAGTTAAGCTGCCTTGTATAGCCTACTTGTAAAAAAAGCATAATTCAAAATAGCATTTTACCCCCTCACAAACAAGTCACCTTCAATTAATTTAGACCCGACAGTGCCAATGAGTGAGTAATCCGTTTATAAACCTGAAGGTCAGGGTAACGTCTTCGTCACTGTTTTCTGCCACATGTTCCATGACTTTCGGTGTTTACGGAGCACGCGACGCACGCATGCGCAGCTGAGCACAACACACGCATGCACCGCGCCATAAACACGCGCGCCCGATGACACGAGCACACTATAGTGTCCTCCAAATCTCCTTGTAGAAACTAAAACTGTTATCGGTTATCAGCACGGTACCGAACTAGAAGGGAAGTAATTTGAAAGATACTTTAAACTGGGTAAATTGCTGATATGACTCATCCAAGACACCCACAAGCCTCTGATCAAGCGAATGGGAGGGAGGGGAACGAATTTGTGTGTGTGTGTGGGGGGGGGGGGGGGGGGGGGGCTGTGTGGTTCGGAAGAGAAAGAGAGAGAGAGGGACAGGGAGGGAGGCAGAGAGAAAACGCAAAAAGATGAATGGAAGCACACCATCAGTATGCCATACATTTCCTGAGCCAAGAAAAAAAAAACATTATAATGAGCGAAATAGTCACGTTTTTGTAAATTTCACTGAGC